TGAAACATGGATATAAGAGAGAGATCTTCCTGTTGACCGAGTTTCTAACTCAGCCAAGCAGGCTAAAATCGTGTTTCTTTTAAAACTTTGAAGATGGGCCAATCTCGGGTCAGTGTCTTGGCGGTTGATGGTGTAATGAGCATTGCGGGTTCAATGTAAATTTGTGTTTGCGATGGGCTTAGAGCTTGGTTGTTGATGGGAGCTTAAGGTTTCTAAAAAGAGGGCCTAGGGCTGAAAGCTGTCGGTTTGGTTTAGAGTTCACTTGGGAGCCAAGCTGAAGGTCAATTGTCACAGCCTCGGAACTTCAGGTTCTAAATGGGCTTGACGGCAAGGACACGGCCAACCGAATGATTTTCTTGTGCAACTAATCCTGCCATTTTTCAGCCAAGCAAGTCCGCGGACTTGGACCCGCAACATGGAAGCCCGAAAGCATAGAACCGACAGCCTCGCAACCCCAAGCCACGACGACTCAAGTCAACGAAGAAGGAACACCCTAAACCTTCTACTCCATCGCCGATCCAGAAAAGAGCGAAACCCAGCACGGACTCTTCCTACTCTTACAAAAAAGGGTTGCGTGGCCGGAGCTTTGGCTCAAGAGTTAGTGGATGCTGATGCGAATTAGTTTGCTCTGTTCAAAAACTGTCGCCTCCAGCCCAACATGAAGCAATACAGTTCAGGCTCACATCATACGCTTGGGGTAGTTGGGTCTTCGCTGACATTCTGTGGCAACAGCTTCGTGATGCAATAGCGAAGAGATGACGTGTCGATGGGCTGGGGCCTCGTCTGTGCCGCAGTCGTCAAGAATGTGTGACTAGCGGCATATCATGAAAGACAGCACCCAGGCACCAAGAACAGCTTGTGTTCATTTGCATTAATGTTTGTTTTTGACAAGACATCGTCATTCCGTCGCTGTGTTGATCTCAGCAGCACTTCGCAGAAGTGCTCTCTGTTCTAGCGGCAGCCTTTGCGGCATCCAGGTTCGGATGATGCTCTTTGCTTATGCGTTGCATCAGGTTGCATTCACGTGCGAGTCGCTCGGCAGTGGAATCACCACCAAGCACTTGCTGGAAGGAAGATGGCTCCGTCCGAACCTGCAGCCAGTGCCGGTGACCCCTTTGGAAGTGCCCGCCTCGCATTAACAAGCACATCGCTGATGCCGTTCGGATGCATTGAATATGCTCCCTGCTGAGACGCTATCTCGGCCTGCATAAGCGGTGTCTTGTCTGCACATCTTTCGCACCATTCAGTGTCACGTACAAGCATGGTCCGGCATGGTGAGGGGGCGACCTCGATAAGTGCCAATCGCACTTTGCCGCTCTGAGCAAGCTCGCGGGTGACGAGGAGTGTGCGTGCTGATCTGTTTGTCTGGTGTAGACATGGATGAGATTGGTATTGACATGCCGCATCATAGCTCTACCACCACTTCTATCTCGAAGTCCCATTTCCCGATTTTTGAGCTCGGGTTCGGAATTTCCGCTCTGGCCTATACTCTTACTGGCAACGCTGTTGGCAGGTGGACGATGACAAATGGTCCAATGGTTCCTTGCAGTACTGATGCTAGTGTGGGAGTTCTGTTGGACTGCAGCTTGATTAGAGGAGGAGAAGAAGAGCTTTGTCCAGAAGTCATCTGAGTTCTGCTCGAAGGTGCAACGCAATCTCAAGTGGATCATGTAGCGAAGTGCCTTCTAGCCGTCAAGCCTGTCGCATAGTTAGATGTGTACATGTTCAAGCCGCTTGCGAGGCTGGATGGAAGCTGGTCGCGGTGCCTGCGTTGTATGTTGGTACCTGGGGCTCGTACATCCTGAACCGCACTGCATCCGCCGAAGTCTGGTAAGACCTGCTTGCTTTCCGTCGGGGTAAGCACACCGTCGTGTGTTTGTATGCGGCACAGACTTCGGCATTGTAGAGATTCGGACCAAGGCATGAAGTTCATCAAGATCAAGTGAGCATTCAAGTGAGCACCCCCTTCAACAGCGGACGTGATGCCCGTGGTGCGACATGGTTGAAACTATGAGAAGATGCTTTCTTGTTGCATTGGTGTGGGCACGATTGATTGAAGATACCTTGTGAGTGGTGTCTCACAATTGATTTGGAAGAGTTGTTATCTCTAGGAGCAGCGACGATTCTGCTTTTTGAAACCGTGAAAGCTGAGCAGACTGGTGACGGCCGCAAAGATGACGTAAAAGGCTTTCATTGTGCCCTTTGCTCATCTGTAGTGCAGACGTGTCTTCGTGTACAGGGCATCTGAAGCTTGCAGAGGTGCGGCATGCTCCACCGAGCCAAGTGAGAAAACCCAGGCCAGCTGTCAGGGGTGCAGCTGTGCGAAGCATTTCCAAGCAGTCCTGGGCAGTTGCTAAGGCGCTGGTGCCGTATGCTGAGGAGTCTCAGCCAGTTGCTCGGGGTATCCGCATGTGCCTGTTGTGTCTGCAGCAGAGAAGATAATGTCCTATCAGCGCAGGAGAAAGATAAGCATCGCAAAGCTGCGATACTGGCAGTTGTCGATTTTTGTTTCCAGGCTGGCGATAAATCACGCCGAAGACACAGGGGCGGTGCAGGATGATACGCAGGCTCGGGACGGCGAACTCGCCAGAGTTTGTCAGCGTTTTCAGCCGTGAGAGGCATGGCAGGGCAACGTCTCTGCGGAGTACTGCTCATTTGAGCAGCTGGCAGCGGTCCTGGTGCGTTTGGTTGCGTGCGAACATCTCTAAGATCCTTCAGATTACAATAAGTTTCTAAATTCCAGGCATCGCTGTGTCTGAGAAAGATTTTCAAGCTTGCAACCGGGCTCTCTTGCATGACGTCGAAGTCTGGATCAGGTCTGGACTTGCAACGTGTGCGCGTGTGCGTGTGAATTTCATGAGATCCACCAAGCCTCTGCCAGTACGCATCGGACAAGCTTTCCTCGCTGCACAGTGTTTCCAGAAGTAAACTGTTCTAGACGGGGATCGCAAAAATGGCGGGAGCGCTGATTCGAAATGCCATCGAGACCGGAGCTCCGCTGTATAATGCCGGCCACTTAGCCTTTCAAGCTGCCTTGGTTTCAAGCAGTGTGTTCCTGCGCAGTTTCAGTCTACGAAGAGGCCGGTCAGGTGGCAATGTGCGCTCGTATCTACGAGGATGGGTCTTGCCCTGGATGTCTGCCAACATATTTATGTGGCATCATCGTTATGACAGAAGAGAGTGACCTCTAGTAGTAGGCCATGGTTGTGTAGCAGGATACAGCAAGAAAACTCTTGCTGGACCAGCGGGCCGAGCTGCGGGAGCCTGTGGCGCCGGTGGGCCAAGCAAATGATCCACTGTTCTGTTTTTGTTTGTGTAGGAAGCTGCAGCGGGACTGCGTTGCTCAGGAAATCCCTCACAGATGCGCTGACAGTAGCTGGTGCGCTGGGCTCTTTGCCAGGGCCTTCTGAGGCCATCATTAGACTCATTGCACTTACTGGCATCCTACAGAGGAAGTTTAAGGAGCAGCCACGGCAGTGTCACGGCATGTTTGTGGCATGGTGAAACGTCTCCGGTACAGCCCTTCCTTACCACACCTCATGACTGTTGTGAGCCCCCCGAATCTGCTCCACATCTCGCCCACATGGCGAGGCCGACCAGCTTGCGTGGGCCTTCCGCCGCGCCTTTGATGAGCAACTTGTCGTGCTCCCAATTTGCCCTGCAGAGCATTGCATGCCACAGAAGTTGAAGGCAGAAGGAGGAAGGAGCAAGGTGCAAGTGAAGGCTTGAAGAGACTCTGCTGCAGAAGACCGCAAGGAGGCACCATGCCTGTGCCGGGGTATGGCAGGCGGCAGGTGGGAGGTGGGGATGCTGCTAGATTTTCATTAATTTTGGATTGTAATTGACCATAGATGCCATAGCTTCAGGTATCCGGCAATGCTGTATTCCATCAATCTCGAGATTCTGCTGAGATATGCCGTTGTTTCTCCAAGCCCTAGTTTATGGCCTTGGGGCGCCAATTGCAAGTTAGTCTTAGCCGTTCTCTTTGTCCACTTGAGGACATGAACATGCAACGACGTGCTTTGAGTGCATGGATAGAAGGAAAGGTGCAATAAGGAAAGGAAGCACAGGCGAAGAAACCAATAAACGTCAGATTGAAGACCGTGAGCGTCAATTTGTTCAACAGCTTGCAAGTCGAGGTCAGTACACGAGAGACAGAGACGGGGATGCAGACGAGCAGTGGCATCCATTGAGCAAGATACAAACGGAAGTCGCCGAGAAGTCAGCGGGCGAATCTCACGCCAACCCAGATCAAACACTCGCATGTGACGTGCTGTTTGCGGGATCGACATAAAACACAAAAAACAAAAAACCAAAACGTGAGAAGGCACTGTGCGACAAGTCCAGAAAATCTCAGCCTCATGTGAAGATGTTACAAGATTTTGTAATTGTTGCCTCTCCTAAACCTGATTGAGAAACCAGACCGTGATGGGAGTTTGCAACACTGTAAATACGTTGTCTACATGACTATGCCCCCATAGTCTATGGGTCACTCCTACTGTTTCGTTTACAACCTTTATACTTTAAACAAACCACGAAGTATGCTATGAGGGCGCCTTTGCCCATTCACGCATGATATAATGCCAACTGGGGATTTTCAACCGGGAAAGTGGTAGCTGCTGTACTGGCGAGATGTACCGGGCGAGGAAAGGAATGCGTGTTGGTATGTCTACGATTTCTTTAATCTTGGGTCAGGGAGGAGGACTAGTTGGCGGCACGGTGGTGGGTCCTTCTGCCTGGGCAACCAGCCTCGGCGGACTTCATCAAAGAAGGGTGTTGTTTCAAGGCGGCAGCGGCGATTCCCAAAGCTGGATCACCTCCGCAAGGCCGTGGATTGAAGTGTCTGACTTGAAGTATACAAAAGTCTGCTCTGCCTGCCACCAGGCGCCACTGACGCTAAAAGCGTCATTGCTGCGGCTATCCAGAAGGGTGGGCTGTGTTGTTCTGTTGTTGCAACAGGGACAAAGCCACCTGCCTTGGTGATGTAATCGAATTGCAGCTAGGTGTGCCGCTGTACAATGGCGGAAATCCCGACGGCTGTGCACAGGCGATGAGTATCTGTCTGGATGCTTGTTTGTTGATGTGCATGTTGGAAGGTCTATTCGGAAGCGGCGAAAAGGCTCCTCGACGGAGGCAGGCAGCATGCACAGCATATGCCCTGGATCCCACCTGCAGCTCACGTCAGTTTGCGTGTGATTCAGGATCGCTGGGGTCGGGCGCCCGTGCCACCCTCCAGCTCGGTCCTCAAAGTGCCGAAGGTGTAGCAAATGAGGCTTCGGGTTTTGAGCGGTGGGCCGCTGACTGTGACTGCGCCTGCAGGCGGGCACTCGACTCTCTGCAGCAGCTACCCAACGCCGACTCGAGAGCGTGGGAGCTCCGCCGAGCACTGGACGCCGTGGCAAAGGCCGACTCCCAGCCCTCACCGTCGGAAAGTGCATAGCTTAATTGCACTGCCAGAACTTTCAACTCCGGGTCCGCAGCCGGAACTTCCGTCTGACCGTTGTGGCGCAGAGGTGTCCCGGCACCGGCGATGATCCGAGACTTCTCGGCAAAGCGCGGGCTGGAGGACTGCAAAACAATGATGGGGAAAGAGGTCTTTGGCAAAAAACAAAAGATGTCCACTGCCTTGGAGGTTGCCGGTTTCATCGTGAACGACACCGTCATGGGCGGCCGCTCTGACAGCGAGCTGGTGATGTCCGACCAGGCCCAGGCTCTGCATCGAACCCGTATGAAGTCTCGTGCTCCCCTGCCAGGGAGCGTCATCTCAGAGTCATGTCAGCAAGCGCCTTGTCCCGACAGGGAGCTGTCTTTCGTGGCACGGTCACCAAGCGTGGCGGTGGTGGCTTTGCCTCCGTTCGATTTCAGCCGCGGGACCGCCGAGTCTGCGGCCACATCCGAGACCCGCTTACGTTCGGTGCTGAGCCGCAGGACCGCGGGGCCTTCCTGGCCATGTTGCGCTCGGCCACAGGTGTAGCGCTGAAGATCCGGAGGAGCAAAGCTTGTTTGCGTGCTGATGCTTTAGACCATGGGGCCGCATTTTTCAGCAAGTGCTTTCCTCTCAGGATACAGGGCTGCGCGAGCTGGAAACTGCAGCTGAACAGCCGGCATTTCAGCATTCAGTCCACAGTGTGAGTGTGTGGGTGGCTTTTGCAGCTCAGGTTGTGCTGCGGCTTTTCAGGTTCATGGATTTTAGGGTTTAGGTCTAGGGTCTTACGGATCAGGGGCTTGAGAGCTTAGGGTTTCAGGTTTAGGGCATGCTTGCAAACCACGAAAGCTGTCTGCAGGAGAGCGGCCGAGACGGTTGAAGGTAGGATGATTCCTCGGGCCTGTAACGCAAGCAGCGTGGACACGAGGCGACATGTTTGGTAAAGTCCTGTACCACCGCTCTCCGTATGAAATGTCGAAGATCTTACCCAAGCGTTTCGGACGGTGTTGCGCACTCGAGTGCAGCCTAAGGGTGGAAGAGCAATTTTACAGGCCAGCCGGCTTCAGAACTGAGACAACTTCGCATCTAAGTACACGAACAGTGCATACCTCAATAACACTGTTTGTCTGTCTGTCTGGGTGCGTGTGAGTGTGTGTCTGTGTGTGCCCCAGGCCAGCAAGAGAAACAGTGGCAGCAGGACGGGTTGCGAGACTTTATCACAGGTCTACACTATGCGGCTTGACGGCCGCCGATTTTGCTGCACAATTTACATCTCTTCAGCACAGAACAGAAAAGCTGCATTGACCTTCATTGAGTTGTCAGCCCATTGCACTCACCGACAGAGTGTTTCGAGCCGGATGCATTTGGCAGCACTTTGCAAGTCTAATCTGAGTCTATACTGTATTCCGCAAGAGGTCTGAAAGGGATGCCGTGGAGATCATTTCTGCGCTCGTTGCCTCGATAATCCGAGTGCTGGCAGCCGAAAGCTTGTGTGGTGAGATTGCCAAGA